CCAGGTATGTTCAATAATTAATTAAAAGTAAGCATATATAAAATAAAATATATAAATATAATAGAATTACTTCTACAAGAAATATAAATACTTCTACAATTCAATTTTGTAAATTACATAAATATCTAAATGGCAACAAAATGTTGAAGTCATTTTTCAATTAACTGCAGTTCTAGATTTTTTTATTATTAATTTACATATTCAAAATTCTTTTATATTAATTGTTCGCAATTTAACATAAATATTTTCATTAAGTATAATGAAAGCATTTTTTTCAGTTCTACGCCACAGTTTTGGCCTTCTTGATGACTTTAATATCGGTATATAATAGATCTTTCTAATACCAGAGAAAATTAATTTGATTATGTTTTGATATCAATATATACAGTTAAATGTACTTTAAATCAAATATTTCTGGATATTAAAACTCGAGATTTTACAGTTATATTGTTTGATAAACTATATAAGACTATATTATAAGACTAACAGCTTATTATATTATAAAGATTTGTTTAATATTTTTCAGCTGGGTTTAATAAACAGCAAATATTTTACCTAGACATTACCTATGCAACATTAAATTTCTGATGGATGTTAATCTCAGAACTTTGGCAGTTTAATTATTTTATTAACGTTTTATTGCATAAATATACTCATAATACGTATCTATATTATTTCATTAATAATAGTAATTAAATGTAAAATACAAAGGTATGCAGATAAAATATAAAATCCCCCATATATACCCTTTTTAGTACATGTATGTATTTTGTATACAATAAAATATAAAATACTAACATACTATTTTTCAATTAATCTGCTAGTTTTATTTGCAACTACTTAGTTGATGTCGAAAGCATCAAATTGACATTGATCCACCTCGATTCCATTATCATTTCTGACTATCTAATCAATTTCCCGAAAAAACATTTTATACATAATTATATAAAATTATATTACAGGTAATTATAACAAAATTTATTATAATTTTATATAATTTCATATAACTATAAAAGCTTTTTTTTCCTGATTCTTAAGCAAGAGAAAAATTTTATATTATATAAAAATAATTATCATTCGTAAATTATCGCAATGGTATCATGTTTTGATTTCAAATAAATACTATATGAAATATTTATTTCGTGATACGTCATCTTACGTAATTGTCATCTTGATTTTCTTATGATCTTAGTTTTTGGTCATCCTTACTACACGTGATAGGTGTCTTCCGTGAATTAATTTTCATCAATCTTATATAAAAATTATTAGGCAATTTTTACGTATATTTTTACATCTTTAGAAAGTACTTGTGTGTGTGCGCGCGCGCGCGCGCGCGCGCGTGTGTGTGTGTGTATATATACGTACATTATTAAATTACTTCACATTTAATTACAATTTTCATGCAATATATTATTTTTTCATAATTATTCAATTACAATTTTCATATAGTATTTAATCAATTATTTTTAATTTACTTATTACTATTTAATATTATTACTATTAATGTAAATATTATTTTTATATAATGAGTTCGTTAACATTATATTATTATATAATTCTGATTTAAAAATATATTCGCTATAAACAATTTTCATGACACGACCGAATTATGTTCTTTTTTTTAGAAAAATCATTCTGTAGCTTTATAAAAACTCAAATTTATATTTATAAGCGTCTTTCCAACCCACAACATGGCGGCGAGTCATGATACCTATTACATCAAAGGTGCCGACGCTCAGTGTCCATACTGTATGTACTTATACTGTGCCCAAGCTGAGCACACCATTTAAGCACATTGTGTTCCGTTGTACGCATAATACACATAATGTATTTTGTTATCCTTGATATTGTTCATTTTATCTCTCGGGAGCTGCTCGGGGTTGCTCCAAATAAACCCAGCGAATTTGAAATATAGGATTCACATTACGTACGACATCCGTCATATGACATCTGACATTCATTTGCTGGTTTCACACTGAATCCGATGTGCGACGCTCTGCAACTAATCAGAAAATAGGATTTTGCTTTGTGTCATCGATACAAAATAAAATTCTGCTTTCCGACGCACATCGAATCCAGTGTGAATCCAGCAATTATTATGTAGAAATCACACTGTGTACGGCATTATGCGTATTATTCGACGTACGACGTCATGTATGTAATAAGAGAACTTGATTTCTAGATATTTCAGCTAGCAATGTTTTGTCATCGTGCGACGATGCTTGTCATATGAAAATGTTTCAATGTTGAAAATGATTCAACTTTTCGTTCGACGACGTACGTACGACGGACAATTTGCGCGCGATTGATGTACATTGTACATAATGGGCAATCCTGTAAGTAATGAAATATTTATAAAAATAATTCTGATTAAATGAGGTTAAATTAGATTTGCTATCACTTTTATTTACATTTTATATATTATGCTAATTCTACAATGTAATCGGAAATCTTAAATCTTAACCAGTTTTAATCTAGATAAATAGCTATGATTTTTTTACAAGTTGTTAATTGTAAAGCGAGTTATTTAGCTCGATTAATGGGAAGGAATGAAGTCGAATTTAGTTAGGCTTAAGTTAGCTGTTGGCCAACTTCATAGATTCACTGATAAGACTTAGGACTATCCGATTCATTGTTGAATCAGTTTTATAATTGATAAATTACATGTTTTTAATTTATTATAAATTGCGTATTTAATTTAATCTTTTTGTATTTTTGTTCAAGTATTGTACAAACTGTGGCGAATTGTTGGAAGATCATCACATATGTTATTTGAATGAAAATTTAAAATCAAATAATGAAAATTGGGAATCCGATATAATATTATACTTCATTCAAAGTTGTTCTAAAACTTAAAGTTGCAGAACTTCCAAAATAGCTTCGCATGTTTCTTGTATTATATCAGAAACAGTACCTGATACTTTTGCCTATACAGTATGACATCGCAAGTAGTGTCATTAAATCGCCGGATGCTAAATATAAAAAAAAAATTGATCCTTAAAGTAAATAAAGGAACATATATATCTCAAGAAAAACTTCAAAGCGATACAATGAACATCAGACGTGTGGCGGATGTCGTACATAGTGTGAATATATTTCAAGTACGTTGGTTTCATTCGGAGCGACCCCGAAAGACAGCTCCCGAGAGACAATATGAACGAACAAACCTTGTTTAATTCTGTGTTAAATAAGGACATGCGCATAGGATATATTATGCGCATTATGCGTGCAATGGAATGCAGCCAGGTCGATCTCTTCCATATATGGAACCCTAAAAACGCCTAAAAACGGTTTTATCGCGATTTACGAAAATTTTTTCTTGGACTTTCCCTTTTGGATGGGACTAGCCAGTGTTCTGGCTACTCTCAAACTTGGCGACTCTACGCAAGATATACATACATTCAATATATAGATGGATTTTCTGTAGAAAAAAAGTCAATGTTAAAGGAGAAATCCTCAAAAGATTAAGTAGAGCATTATAATATGGATATTCGTATCCGCCATTTTTAGTCTTTTCCCCACTCTTTATTCTCTCTTTAATCTTCTCTCTTCAATTTCTTAGCGGCGGAATGAAGAGAGAGACTAAAAGATTGAGGAAGAGGGTGAGAAAAGGATTAAAAATGGCAGATGCTAATACTCATATTATAGTGCCTTAAGTCAAGTCGTGAGGGGCGACCTCATGATTGATCAGATTTTGAGTCTCTTTAAACGTCACTTACTCGTCACCATTTGCATTTATTTTTGATGAGTAGTAAATCTGTGAATTGATGTGAGCAATTGTTTCATAGTGTAGAAGGCGCTAACGCGAAATCGAACTATCAACTATCAACCATAGTAAAATTATGTTGTTTCTGGCCGATACCCGGCTTTCTTCCGCTCTTATGTCGTGACTTTTATTAAAGGGACTCTATTGAAAGTGTTTGATTGATCAATCGAAAGAAAGAATTTTATTAATTGACCAATCAAAAAATGCTTCAAAGCATTTGTAACGTCAAGTGGATCGTAGCCAGAAATAAGTTCATCATTGGCTGCTAATCACGTGATTGCTATCAGAACACTTAACACCAGTCGCGCTTCTCTTAAAGCCCATTTTACACTGCGCAGTAGGCGTAAGAATCGACTAATCATATATTAATTATCTTTCTCACATTTAACTGTGATTGGTTGATTTCTACGCCTACTCCTTAATCCATTACTGCTACTGCCTATTATAGAATGGGCTTTAGACCTGTTCTACAATAGAATCGTAAGCAGTAAAGGCTTAAACACAATAGGCACAAGCAATAGGCACAGGCAACAGGGAATAACAGCCGTCCAATCAGAGGTCTGATATGTAAATTCGATGTTATATCTCAGAGTTTTGATTGAACAGCTCGTTGTTTCCTGTTTTCTGTGCCTACTGCCTATGCCTATTGTGTTTAAGCCGTAAGAAATTAATCAATCATAGCTGATTATTCTTCTCACACTTAACCGTGATTGCCCAATTTCTTATGGCTTACGACTTGCGATCCTATTGTAGAATAGACATTATAATGTTTTCGGCTCGACCGGGTTTGCACCAACTTGGGTTGGAAAATGCTTCGCTATTGGTTGAGATTACACTCTACTAATAGGAGAGCACGAAACATCATTACATTAACCCAGATTGGTGCAAACTCAGTTGGGTCGAAAATTTTAAATCTAGGATTTTAGTTTAAGGGTGCTATTTCATTAACGTACGACAAATATATACAGAATAGTGAAGTCTTTACTCCTCTCTTTGGCTCAAAGTCTCGCTACAAATACTTTGAAGCATTTGATGGACTAATTAGAAAAAAGAATTTTACAAAGTGACCAATTAAAAAATGTTTCAAAGCGTTTGCAGCATCACTTTGACCGTAACCGACCTTTATCCCATAGCCAATCAATAGGTTTAAAAAATTTATCGTACGACAAAAACGCACAAATAAAATATCACCCTAACGGAATTAAATCTCCTTCGTGGTATAAACACTTTTACTTCGTGGTATAAACACTACAAACTTGCAAACGACAAATTATAAGCCTGCCCTGTCCAGATTCGTTACCGATTCTGCGACGTGAGTCATAGGCTACGTTCCAAATCTTCCTCGGAGAGGAAGATTTTATTCTATATAGTATACGTTACGTGTATTATATATTTCGAATAAAATTTTCCTTAGAGAGGAAGTTTTGGAATATAACCTAGAAGAAGAAGAGGAAGGAGGCAAATTTGCAAAGGAAGTCGACGGCACTAGATGTTTTCTTGAATTGCTAGCTGGATTAGAATCTTGTCACCGTATTAGCTGCGATACTGGCATTGACAGCACCGCAGCCAATACTGTGGCAAGATTCTAAGAATGAAATCACACAGTGCGGAAAAGAGCTGCGGAATAGAGAATGTGTCATTAAAGCAATCAATCAGCATTATTCTGCATTATTTTGAATAGCGTTAGATTTCAATGATCTTTATCCTAATCCAGCTAGCAATCCAGCAGGAAAACAAGCATCGTATACCACAGGTTTTAGTTTTCTTCTGGTCGGATTCGTCATCATTTCATTGGTGAGTGCAATACCCACATACCAATTCCCACAGAACGTAGCAGATTCTAGAAGATTCTAGAAGAAGATGCAGAGGAGCGGGTGTTAGTTAACCTATAATAATTCAAAATGTACATACCTTTATACATATTTTTGCAAGTTTTATTTTACTGCTATTTTATTATATTGTTATTTGTTATTTTAAAGTAATGCATATATAATGCATATTTATTTTATTTGTATTAATATTTTGATAGTTTTTATTTTGCATAAACTGGTTATTTTTCAATATTTCACATGTATCAATTTCAAGAAATATAAATTTCTTCTCAGCAATATATATTTAACTTCGTTGTTTTTATATTGAAGAAATAATTGCTAAATATTTATTTGTTTTAGACTTGTTTTTTTTTTGCAATGGATGGTGTGGACTTATTTAACGTGTTTCTTACAACACATAAAGTACAACTTCAATCTTATGGTGTCCCACATTTATTTTGGAAAGTTTTATATAAAAAATTAACAGATCAGATTTATGATGCTGGTCTTGTCTTCCAATTAATAAAAGTAGAATATGAAAATGGAGAAAAGCATGTTACAGAGCCAATATGGAAGTTAATTGTATCTGTAGAGAATGGTATTTCTGTTCAAGATTCTAATAATATTTATCTTATTGATCATGCATGGACATATGATATCAGTAGTGTTCAACAGAATTTAATTCAAGTTCCTGGCTTACTTGATCGAATGTGCATTCTTATGGGAATAAATACAGAACTGGATGAGCAGAAAAAAGTAGAGGATGTTACAAACGAAATGTGGCGTTACAATCAATCATATTCAGTAAACTATGGAGAGATAGAAGATAGAATGCCAATATGGTACATTATGGATGAAGTTGGTTCAGCAATAAATCACAGTGATGATCCAAATTTTAGAGCAGTTCCTTTTTTATATTTGCCAGAAGGTGTAATTTATACGCTTCTATTTCCTACAAAAGACGTTACTGCAGGCGATGAAGTTACGAGAGATTTTGTGGAAGGTCAAACGAAGGATCCTGAAAAAAGACGCGCACTATTATTACCTTGGGTCCACAGTACTTTTGAAGATGAAAGTTTTGAACAGAATGAACCAGATGCAGATTATTTTTTAGCAGGTCATGTTCCTGAAAGCTTGCCGGAAAACTTGAATGTAATCAAGGCAAATAACAGCAGGAAATTAAAGGTTTTTTCACAATACAGTTATGTGAATAATTACTTGACAGATCCAGCATTTGAAGTTACTGACAACGAAGAAGAAGCAGACATATTATGGTTTGTATCTCATTACAAGATGTACAAGGAATTAAATGTTTCTTCGTCTCACGTTTTTGTAAATCAATTTCCATATGAGAATGTTTTGACGACAAAAGATCTTCTATCGATTGTATGCAGAAGAAAGGCAATGAACAAATTGTATGATTCGGATACTCTCGAAACTTATCCAGCATGGTTACCGACGACATATAATCTGAGTACGGAATTGGTACAATTTGTTGCTTATTTCATGCAACGAGCAAATAAAGATTTGGATAATCATTGGATTTGCAAACCATGGAACTTGGCAAGAAGTTTAGATACTCATATCACAAATAATCTCTATTATATTCTACGGCTGCCTTGTACAGGCCCAAAAATTGTGCAAAAGTACATTGAACGGCCAGTTTTATATAATAGATCAGATATTAATCAAGTAAAATTCGACGTGAGATATGTTGTGTTGCTTAAATCTGTAAAGCCGCTACGTGCGTATGCTTATGCAAACTTCTTCCTGCGTTTTGCGAATCAACCATTCGCATTGAACAATTTTAATGCTTATGAGCAACATTTCACCGTGATGAATTATACCGAGGAGAATTCACTATTCCATGAGAAATGTGCCGATTTCATCATAGAATGGGAAAATCAGTATCCCAATTATCCCTGGAAAACTTATGTCGAGCCAAAGATTCTTTCTGTTTTAAGACAGATCTTTGAAGCTGCAGTTGCGCAGCCGCCTCCAAAAGGAATAGCCGAAAATCCGCAAAGCAGAGCTGTGTACGCTGCCGATATGATGTTGGAATGGAGAGATTGCGAAATGCAACCCAAGCTGTTGGAAATAAATTTTACGCCTGATTGTCAGCGTGCGTGCGAATATTATCCGGACTTCTACAATGATATTTTTAAATGCTTGTTCCTAGATATTGACAATCCAGAAGTTTTTCATGCATTAGATTCAATCAGCGAATAATATCAGATTGTTTATATAATTTAGATAATAATTTTATTGTTATTGATGTGTACATATATATATA